ACAAAATAAAGTTATGATGCGTGTTCCAGCTATGTTTTAACAAAAAAAAGGAATACATGATAGTGTTGGGAAAGCATTAAGAACAGCTAACGAAGGTCTCGTGACTGTCAACTTTCATGCACTCTCATCTGGTTTAATTCCAATCTTTCTTACATTATCGTAATGTTTCTTGACGATAGGTTCATAAAATCCAATTGCTTCCTTGTATTTATTCTCCTGCAGAAAATAAAGTAAAAGCATGATAATTACTAAACTGGTAATCATATATACTTCACGCGCGAAGAACAGCTTAACAAAGTCAATTGAGGCTCAAAATAACGGGAGATAGGTCTCCGGTCAAAATGACCGGTCAACTTGATTTTAGCTCGGTCAAAATCTGTTTTTGACCAGTCATTGATTCGCTTACACTAACAGTGAAACAAACTATCAGAAACTTGTTTCGATACATCATAGTTTCATGTTTTAATTCAAGACGTCAGAATCACATCAGAAGGCATGAAAATGTGGCCGGTCAAAATGATCGGTGAGGTAAAAAAGTGACCGGTCAAGAGGCATTTTTAGCCGCTTGTTAGTGAGCTTAAGCAAGTGACGTTTTTTACAACACGGACGTCGACCGGAAGTAAAATTAACGTTTTTCACCAATCACAGCCTTTGACCCAGTCTTCTGACGTTACTCAATATGCCGTTCGTGTTGTCAAAAATGTCACTTGCTTAAGCTCACTATTGTACGTTGACCGGCCGTTATTTTGAGCAGTACTAGTGTTGAAATGAGAGTTTATCTAACCACAGTACCTGCATAAACAGGACATGCGCAACGTTTAACTTCCACACTTCATGTTCATTGCAAAACTCCACAGACTTTCGGAATATCTAGGGAGGAAATATCATAGATATCTTATATACACTAGATAGTGCATCTAATTATTCTGCAATTCAAAAATTGAAGCCGTGATTGCAGACTCAGGATATTCCCATGAAATGAGAAGATTCGTATGTTTTCTATTTCTTAAACAGGGAACTTAAACAGTAAGTTAAACCTATTCCAAATACATTTTTAAATTATTCAAATGATGAAAGTTATTGTTGTTCTTTAAGCGTTTATTAGCGAGTGGGAACTACCAATATGGCCGCCATCTATTCAAATAGGAGTAACCGCTGGAATATTCTTGGCTTCAATTTTACTAAAAGAGATGCGCTATCTAGTGTATATAAGATATCTATGGGAAATATAGAATATCTAGGGATCATTGGGGCTATGAAAATCATCTTTGGTTAATGGACTATTATGTTTATACAACTAATCGTAGAGCTAGATTAGGTTTGCGCGAGGCATGTGGTATATTTGAACTTCTGAACACCTTAGAAGAAATATTAGTATGCGCACATTTGAAACAGCTAATCGGGAGCGCTTGTGAAAGATTCAATTATAGATCCTTCACCCTGGGGCAGGAATTAAAAGCAAAAGAAAGGGCAAAAAGAAGAATTATATCAGTCTGTATACCTTTTCAACTTGTGGATAGTTTTCTAAATCCCAATAAATTTTTGCCTGCGTCATTAAAATTGGAATATACCTAAATATTGGGATATATAATTCAATATCACGAACAAAACACAGTTGAATCATTTCAATTTCATTGATACTGTTCCAATACTTAAAATTGGCTTGATGCAGTAATATAGAGGTTCAAATTCAACTTACCACTACCATTAAGGGACCATTAATTAACCAATCAGATGCGTTTGATATATCCGATTAACCAATCAGATGCGTTTGATATATCAGATTAACCAATCAGATGCGTTTGATATATCAGATTAACCAATCAGATGCGTTTGATATATCAGATTAACCAATCAGATGTGTTTGATATATCTGATTAACCAATCAGATGCGTTTGATATATCAGATTAACCAATCAGATGCGTTTGACATATCCAATTAACCAATCAGATGCGTTTGATATATCCGACTAACCAATCAAATGCGTACTAGCCCAGTGAGAGGTAGGGGTAGTGGAAGTCGAATCTGAAACTTTCTAATGTTGGATACTTTACCTTTCCAAAGCTTCATCGTATTCGTTTACAGCTCTTTTTACTGCTTCATCGTCATGATTTTGTCTTGACTCTTGAACCTTGATGGTCAGATATCATATTGTACTATGTTAGCCTGCACATGTCAATGGCATTAGCAAAACACTTTGGGAGTACAAGGGCTTTTTTACAAACGCAATACAAACCGTCGAGTTTCCTTACCTGTTTAGTTAATTTTCTTAATTGCTCAGTTTGTTTTGTTGCCATTTCATCAAAACTACGAAATGCCTAAAATGAATAGTGTAACCAGCATTAAGTGGAGTATGTACTACTACTACACTATAGCACTACTGTTACACTATAGCACTACTGTATAAAAGGCGATTAATTACAAATTGAATGCATGTCACTGTACCTCTTCGGGAGAAGTTTGTCGAGTGATTGTCGCATCCAAAAATTCGTACAAATACTATAGAGAAGAAAACATAGAATATTTCTTCAGTGCCAACCCTCGTTATTATACAAAGTTTCCTTCCTAAAGACAACATTAAAGTGCGACTAACCCCAAATATAAATTTTGGTATGTGTAATATTTGGGTCATTCGAAGAAGAAATGTAATATATCTTTATAGTAAAAAACCTCATCTTGATCAAGTTTTTCACTGTCAAAGTTTCCGGATATGATGCCATTAGGTGAATTTTTGGTACAAAAAACAACGGAAAACTAATTTGCAATTCACCTAATGACATCATATCCGCAAACTTTGACAGCGAAAAAGTTTATCACTGATATATAACATTTCTTCTTCGAATGACCCAAATATTACACATACCAAAAATCATATTAGTGGTTAGTCGCACTTTAAACAATTAGTACTTACCGCTGTTAAAAACTTGTAGGTTAAATGAGCGTTTTCAGCAAGAACATCTGCCGCAAGATCATAGTACTGAAACGAGAAATAGAATACGTAAATAAGGAAATAATGGACAACTTGCATGTTAGCGGAAATTGTTACCATTTTCGGCTCAAAAATGGTAACAATTTCCGCGCGCAATACAAACATACAAAATATGCAAACTCGACCTCCCCCCCCCCCTCCGTCGCCAAAAAATTTTCGGTCAGTGTACCATTTTAGGGGTAAAAAATTTTTTCCGGACATACCAAAATTTTTCGTGACGTAAAAAAATTTTTCCGGACATCAGCAATTTTCTCCATTTATCCAAATTTTTTTTCTAAAATTTTTGTAAATTAACCTCATTCTTTTCCAAATTCACACTTATTTTTGTAAATTAACTTTCTCTGGGCCTAGAAATTACCTGAATTTGTGTTCATTTACCTGAATTTCTTCTGCAAATCTACCTGAATTTACCTGAAATTGCCCTCACACCCCCCAGTCGCTACGGCCCTGCATACAAGTTGTCTATTGCTAACAGTAGAGTCCATGAAGGACCATTGAACGAGGACGCACCGGTTCGCAAGATGCATACCCACCTGGTATTTAACATAGAGAAGCAAAAGATTCCCAAAAGTTTCTGTAAAAGAGGAAGCAGGATATAAATTTCCTTTTATTTTCATGCATGTTATTCATGTATTTAAAATATATTTTCACTACATAACACCAACACACGCAGAAATCATCATGTCTTAGAATACATCGATATTGAAGGAATATAGATTCTGTTCCAAAATATCACCAACTCGAACTGACTTGACCTCATAGCTCAATTGGTAGAGCATGGGACTAGTATCACCAAAGGTCGCGGGTTCGATTCCCACCGTGGTCAGACAAACTTTTCAGCTTTCCCGGTGTAGATGCACACTCAGAGTAACATCACAAACAACATATTTTCACTACCTATCAATATCCTCACAAAATAAGTAGATGGTTGAAGAAGCCTAGAAAAGCCATTTCTAAGTGAGCAAGTCGATTTTCGGTAAAGCGTATAGCCCGCGTGCAGGCCCAAGGGAACTGATAGTGGGCCTGCAAGCAAGGCCCGGTATTTTGTAAAACACCCCTTTTCATAACACGCCCCATTCACGCGTCAATTGTCAAAAAAGAACCAATGACAACACCCAAATATTAACAAACAAACTCGCATTAAAATGTTGCGGGGTTTTCTCTGCTTATTCAGAACATAAACAATGTGTAAATGGTAGCCCGCGTATCAGTTTCCTTGGGCCTGCACACGGGCTATAAAGCGTATAGTATGATCGCACGTACCTGGTGGGAATGGATTCTGTTGTAATAAGAACTGGAGTTTCTCAAAACCCTGCAACAAATTAATCATAGAATGTCGTAACACTCTCTTTCATACGCAACATAAATAACAATTTTGTCAATATTTTTGCAACTATGAATAAATTCTTACTGCAGTTGGATTGGCCTCCATGTTCATCAAAGCTTGATTGTGCAATGTGACGGCATCAAGTTCCTGTACAAACAAGATTATTCTGTCTAATGCCAGACTATTTTACAGATCTGACTTTACTCTGAGCAACACTATATGATTGTCAAAGGGCTGGACGTTTCGATGTTAACTATCGTTAAAGCTACAGTTTAAACAACAGCTGCAATGAACTTACAGTTTCTGATCTTGGCGGCATATCTGTAAGGGCTTCTTGAGCAGCTTCGTCTGATGAAACAGAAAAGATCATGTCTTATACTGCCTGAGAAAATCAAGATTGCACAAAGAAATCAACATGTCAAATAAGATTTAACAGACGTTTTCTTACAGTTTTTAAGTTGATATTCAATGGCAGCTTTGAGGTTAAATGCTTCCACCAATGCTGTCTCATGAAGAACCTTGGTATTACCAACGCTTCGGACTTCTATTCCCTCTGTCGTCATTCCAACACTTAGCTCTAACAAAGAACATGGCAATACAATGATGAGCTCTATGTTTTAGACAATGTTTTAAGATAAGATGTGTATTTGAAAATCTGGATTGCACAAAGAAAACAACAGGAAGAAATAAGATTTAACCCATTGAGTGGCAGCACTCTCCCCTTGACAAGTAAAATTGTCTGGCATTAGACGAGAGTAAAATAATAAAGTAGGGCACATCTGGATGCATTGCCACTTAAAGGGTATAACATGATGCACAGGCAGATAATCTGATTAACCCATTGAGTAGCAGCACTCTCCCCCTGACAAATAAAATCATCTGGCATTAGATAGAATAAAATAATAAAGTAGGGCATCTGGACGCATTGCCACTTAAAGGGTTAACAACAGATGCTTTAATTATTACATTCAGCTGTATATGTGCACGTCTGCATGCTTTGCAATTTGTACCAGACGCCCTGTTTGTACCTACCTGGGTGTTCACGGATGCCTTTCTCGATGATATCAGCAATATGCTTCAAAGCTGGGGCATACTGCTTCAGACTGTAGTGACACAATGCAATGTTGTAGGATAGATCTAGGATTAGGAATGAAGAAAGATAAACTTAGTAGTCAACTGAATGATGCTAACACTCCAAAACGAGTCATTCCTCAACACACATCATTCATCTGTATAAAACAAACCTGGTTGATAGCCAAGAATATTCATAGCAGAAGAAAACTTTTGGCATGCTTCGGAATAACGCTTTTCCTAAATTAGTAAGCAAATTAAATTAGAACATCACCATTTTGTACAAACAAGTGTGCGTGCAAATTATTTTTGCCACTAAAAATGGCCCTAATATTTCAACCTTATATAAGAGACAGCCAAGATTAATTTCAACATCAGGGTCATCTCCAGCACATTGTTCCACCATGCTCTAAAATGATACAGAAAATATGATTGAGCAAGTATTACAAATTCATGCTGATTGCTCATAATTCTGACTTCAAATGCCCAGAATATATTTGCAAGAAATTACACAGAAAGTGCAAAGCACCTTAGCCCCTTGTAAATCTTCCTCCCCATACTTGATGGCAGCTTGCAGCTTCAACACCTGGAGAACAAATAAAATTAGTTTCTTGTACACAATATAAAAATATCATAATCTGATATTACTGAGTGGATTGGTGATGCAATCTTACCTGTGACTGATATGCAGGATTTTCAATTTGAAAAGTTGCCTTGGTTGCTTCAGGGTATTTGAAAGCTTTGTATAAAGACTTGAAAAGAAATACCAATTGATTTAGTTGCTGACCGACAAACTGACGTATCAAACAACCAATGGACTGACTACCTAACTCAATCACTAACCGACTGGCTGACTGACTTGCTGACTTAATTTTAACAAGACATTGTAGACTGCTGCCTGGCTGACCATCCATCTGAATTAGGGGTGCACCGGATTTGGAATTTTCAAATCCGGCCGGAACCGGATTTACCGGATTTGGACAAAAATTCCGGCCGGATTTGCAGGATTTGAGATAAACCGGTAATGGGGACTATTGGGGATAAATCAGTATTCAAAATGACGGTTTATGTTTTTTACTATTTTTAGTTAGTGTCAGTTTAGATTTTTTATTGTGTTTAAACCTTTTTTAAACATCTTTTTGTTAATTTAATTAATAACTTAATATTTTATAATAATATATATACTAAGTGTTTTTTAAACTTTAAAGCTGCCAAATTGATGGTTTCTCCCATTCTTGGTGAATTTTTAAAGGTGAAAACAGAAATTTAAATCCGGCTGGATTTTCTCCAAATCCGGCCGGATGCCAGAAAATTCCGGCCAGATTTGAAATCCGGTGCACCCCTACTCTGAATAACTGATAGACCAACTAACTCGCTCACTGACCAGTGACCAACTGATTGACCATCCTACCCACTGACTGACAGATTATAAAAAGTTACCTGGGCATATGCAAGTTTGTATTCATCCACTTCAGGGTTTATCTGTATAAGCTGCTCATAACTAATGGTAAAAATAAAATATATATATTATGGTATTGCCATTCTGTGGCTTATCCAGCCAAGATATTATATACTCACCATTCGGCAGCATTTTCAAAATTCTGCAGTTGAAAATAGCAGTATCCCAGCAAGGACAAGGCAGCTCGAGACTGAAACACAAGATGAATGAATGAGTCTCATATTTATTCACACTTCAATAACACACATGCTCAGTGCATGATACCCACCTTGGGATGATTTTCGAGCTCTAGAGTCAGATGGTTAATTGCCTCGTCAAATTTCTGACTTTTTATCTACAAACAGGATTTAAAAGTTAATAATTAACCCATTAAGTTACACTGCACCAAATGCATCCTACTAAATCATTTTATTCTATCTCATGCCAGATGATTTTGCCCTTCACGGGGAGAGTGCTGGCACTCAATGGGTTAACAATAATATACCATGCGAATGCTTCCAGTGAATTAACCATGCAGTGACGTAGTGGTAACGGCATCTGCTTGAAAGTTCCTACATTATGGTTCGAATCCCGGCAAGTACATTTTCGTTCTTTTTCATATTTTTTTCAAATTTTTTTCCTACTAAATTTAAATTTCTAGGGTTAGGTTAGGGTTTGAGTCTTGTTTATAAAAATCTAACTTTAATTTGTATTACATATTCCTGTTGGACATTTACTGTAGTTTTTTCAAAACCTTGTCGTGAAGATAGACCAAAGTTTTAAGTATAAGGAAGTTACCCCACCGTAGACCTCATGGATGTGGTGATCCAAGATCATTTACAGGGGGGGGGGAGGTTGTTATCTTTTCCATTTTATAATGGGGGGTTGCTAATATTTAGCAGAAATGTATACATACATCATAAATAGTCAGTATTAAAAGTGATCTCTAAAGTGTGCTTGAAAATGTACTTTATTTACAAAAACAAGGTAATACAAACTGTCAAAATACATAATGTACAAACAGACTAAAACTGATATATAAAACTACATTTTCACATTTGCTTCATAAAAATTAGCAAAAACTGACCAGAGAATAAATTGTCGACGTATATTCCCCGTCCTTGATTGTAGAATTCTCCATTCCACTTATTTCGCATAAAGAAACATCTTTCAAAGTAAAAATAACGAAATTTTTGTAGAAAAATTTTCGCCTAGAGATATGTTTGTTATTTGTGTCTAAGGCGGTTTTCGTCCCTAGGTATTTAATTCCGGTCATACGTACGTGATACGGGATTATTGATACTAGGTGCAAAAATCCGGCCAATAATTTGGCAAAAATACCATTTTTTTTTCAGAAAAACTGCATTTAACGAACAAATAGGCCAAATAGACAAATTTAGTTTGCCAAGTAAGTAGTTTTAGGTAAATTTAAAGCGATGATTAAAAATTTAGGTAAAAGAAACGAGTATTTGTAATGGCAAGTCTCTAAACGTCAGGTGTTCTGTTTTTGCGGGTATGAATGGTCCACCTGCACACCAGAGCCTGCACATGGTCTTTTGTTGCCAAGTTTATATTGTTAGACCATTGTAAAAAAGCCTTTTATTTTAATTGCTTTTGATTTTAAAGCGTCGTGCAAGTTTTTTGTGCAACTGAGGCAGGTAAATCCTTAATATTTTACTAAATTTTAGATACAGTATATATATTTATTATGTACATGCATGCTATTTGCCTAATTTGATATATTTTCATGCACTATTTTATTTCTTTACATTATTATACTTTATAAACCACAGAGCTACTGTCTTTTATATTCCAACAGGTGCAAGTATTAAAACTTTGAATGATGGAGGTTTATCACTATATTTTTGGATTTACAATATTTTTATTTGGCATCGCTCTGTCGCAGTCCGACAAGCCAAGTGGATTGTCACAAGGTACAGTTTTGGAACCTCAAAACAATTCTTATATACTATTGTTTACATCTATGGATGAACAGTCACAGATATAAACATTGTATATTTGCATGTGAAACTTTCATGCTTGTCAAGAGCATTTGACACATTGACTCGATCTGATCAGCCAATCAAATTTAATGAGCCTCGTATTGATTAAACAAAGTCATTGATATTGTCAAATGACCATTTCAAGCATAATGTTTCTTGTGGGCATGGACAACGTTTCCATCCATGACTGTTTATCCTTTGATAAACAGTAATCATAAGACCATCTTTGTTCATCTTGTGTCTATAGCTAGATTCATAAGCATTTTTTTTTGGTTTTCAGGTGTTTATTGTGAGGGATGCATTGCAACAGTTAAAGGTACAAGCAATGGTGTAACTCCTTTGGGTGCCACCTGACTCAAGTGATGGGGCCCGGACAATTAGGGGGGGAGGGGAGGGTGCTAAGCAAGGATGACAAAGTGGTGAAGTTGATATAGCAAATTTTGCAGCAATATACAAATTCTCATTGAAATGCATTATATACAATATAACTATTTGTCTAGATCTGTTATTCCATAAAAAATTATTCTTTCTATTTAATAATTTTAATGAAATCTCGATCATTCTCAGAATTATTAAAGAAAGTGAGCAAGAACACGGGCGAAAGTCGGGAAGTCAAAGTGATTGAAGCTATGGAAGATATTTGTAATCTTCAGAATTTTGGAAGTTATGAATATTCACCTCCAAAAACTGGCCAGGCTTGTAAATTTCTCATGGGTAAGTATTTGCACAACTGCAGTTCAATTACTGCAATATGTAGTTGTCTGATTATAAATTCATGTGAGAAGAGTGCTTCCAGTTTGACTCTACCAAACACCACAGGCTAATTCCAGGACTTCAGTTTTCTTGTGTGGTAATACTGGACCAGTAAGGAATGGTGTCTCTAGTGGACCACTAGAATTAAATCTTAAATACTTCAACCCATTCAACACAAGCACTCACCCCTTGATGAGTAAAATTGTCTGGTATTAGACAGAGTAAAATAATGAAGTAGGGTGCATCGCCATTTAAAGGGTTAAACCTAATATTATCACCTTTCAAACTAGAAAATTACGATGAGGAGATCGAAAACACATTAGTTGGTGAATCGGGAGATTTTGAACAAAAAATTTGTTACAAGTTGACGGAGGCATGCGAGGGTGTGGACCGTACCAAGAAAGAGAAAGAGGAGCTTGAGGTCAACATTAACGACGAGAAACAAAAGCTACAGACTGGAAGTGCAAAGAAAGAGCCGGAACCGTATCATGTCAACATTAACGAGGAAGGTGCTGCTGCAAAGTTGGTGAATCAAATAAATATGGCAATCAAGGATAAGAAGAATAATGGTGATGGTGGTGATGATGATGGCGATGATGGTGATGAAGATGATGGTGGTGATGATGATGATGGTGATGAAGATGGTGCGGATGGTGACAAGGATGGTGATGGTGATAATGAAATAGATGAAGATGCAGATATGGATAATGTTGATGGTGATGATATTGAAAATCTTACTGATAATTTAAAGGATGGTAAAACAGAACTCTAATCTAGTCTGCCTTATTAAACTCTGACTATTAAAAAGAAATTCTTAGCCTGCTATTGTTTTACACTTGATACAAAAGGTGGATTATGAATCTTACTGATAAATTGACTGAACTCTGAGATGAGGCATTATCCTCAGTCAGCTCTCTAAAAGTGGCCGGTACAATAAACACTGCAAGAAATGTTCCCCAAAACCATAAACTTAAGTAAAAACATGAAAGTATTTAATTGAAATTATTATTAAAATTGGCATAAAAATACAAAATGTCTGATTATAAATTAATTAATAAATATATACTTATTCAAAAGTTGTTCTGGATATGTTTTTAGTTAGGTTTGTCTGTGCATGCGTGCAACATCGTGGATTTTGGTTTCGACACAGTTTTGGAGCGGCACATCTGCAAAGGGAGAATAGGTACCAGTCTTGCAAGGACTGGCTAATGTCTTGTGAACCATGTTCATATAAGTAGGTTTGGCCGACTTTCCCAAAAATCATCTTTGATAATGTCTACATGTAGCATGACCACTTGTGGGTAGACACGAACGGTAGTTGAATCACCTTTAGATTTTGAAACCATCTTTTCTGCCTGATCAAAGTAATAATATAAATGAAAATTTGGCGGCTTTGTTAGAATACAGTTATACTGTTTCTAACCTAGATCAATCTATAGTATTAGTGTAAAAACTATGTATAATTCTCTGCTGGCTGAGGAATGAAAGAAGCAGAAAATATTTTCTCACACACTGCTGGGGGCCGGCCCAATTAATATAATCAGGCTGTCCCAGCTGTGTGAGAGAATACCTGTTTTTGTTATCTTGAATAATTCACCTACCTTCTCCCACAATAGTACTGTGCCTTTTCTAAACATTTCAGGCAGATTGTTGTAATTGATATTAAACTCTGAGAAGAGAATTTCATTCTTATCTCCTGACACTGTACCCTAAAGGTACAAAACCAGTCAGTCCCTGAAGTCGTCAAATTGTACATTGTGAGAATACAAGTACAATTACATATATGGATCAATGGACTCAGGGGAGTGTGATGCGTGATAGGAATGACAACAGAGATTTTTTGAGCCTTATAATCATTCCCATCATGCACCATTATTTTTTTGAAAACCTGGTCAGACGAACACATAAACACTTACACACAATCGTTTTTCTGCATCTTCCGGGCTCAGACCAGCAATTTTTACAAGTTTCCAAAAACATGTATTGTACAAGTTATTGATGTGGCCTTTGAAAAAAACAGCAACTTTAATACAAAATCAAGTTCTTCATCAAATTTCGATCAAAATTTTATTAACAATATACCATACAGTCAGCTTGTCTCCAGCTTAAATAATCTTTGAGGTTTGTTTCAGTAGGATAGAGGACGACTCTTCCATCAAATGTTGGCGGATATTGTAACTTTTCCTTGAAATATTCTGACCAGTAAAATACATAACTTGACGCAAAGTAGGAAGCCAAATTTGTCATAAGCTTGCTTAAAAAGACAAATTACATGTTCTGATGTTCTGTAGATTAAAGTAAGCATAATCTGATTTTCAAATGCAGAAACGCTTGGTGAAAACGATGGATTTTACATGGTTATTTTATGAATGATCATACCTTGCTCTACGATTAAATAGAGTTGTGCTTCGTTTGAAGACAAAGCTAGAGAATAAGGTTGTTAATTATTATAGACACTCAACAAAGTGGGTTCATTGTTTTGCTTTGGGTGACTGCTTATTCTACCTGCATGGTGGTGAAAATGGTGATCATGGTGGTCAAAATGATAGTACATGGTATTGGTGATTGTAGTGGTGATGAAGGTGGCAATCAGGATGGTGGTGGTCTTGATCAGTGATGCTGGTAGTGGTGATTGTGATAATTGCTGTGATGATGGTGACGATCGATGATGATGGTGTGATGATGGTTATGGTGGTGATAATGGTATGATGATAATCATGGTAATGTCATAATCTTTCCCAACAGACCTATATTCATCACTCTGTCCATATGCAAGGATAAGATCCTGAAATTCTTTCATCACTTCCTCTGCACATCGGTTCATCAACTTCAAAGCATTCTCATCATTTGGTTTCTCAAATTCATGGCTGTCTGAAAACCTATCACACATGTAATCATTGACAATCTCCAGCCATTAACCATTAACTGATTAACACCCAAGGCTTTCCCCTTGGCAAGGAAAATCCCAGAAGGGATCAGGCATGTTCAAATATACCATAGCGCAGCACATAGGGGCACATTGTGACTTAATTGGTTAATTAACCATTATAAATACCCAATCAGGGACCGCGGAGACGGGGGGGCTTCAGCGCCCCCACTTTTTTTGACAGCCAAAATTATTAAAATAGAAATCTAAATGAAACTTTCTAAATTAATTAATTGGGGGTTTTATTGATGATTTAGCCCCCCCACTCTCTAATACGCTCCGCGGGCCCTGCCAATATGTCCCGTTGAGTAAAATTGCCAGTAGCATTAATGGGTATTGCAGTTTAACGACTAGTAGTGTCCAATTAACCTCAATTAATCAATAAATCAAATTTATAAACACCAAATCAATCAATCTAGCTTAGTCCATTAAACTCACTTAAGGTGGCAATGGTATGTTTACACAATTTCAAAAAACAAAAATGTTGATCAACAAATATAAAGGAGCATACCTATGAAAATTCCTTCCATCTAAACGCACAACAATAAAACAATTCAACAAACAAGAATCATTATTTTCAAATTTTCTCGTGTATTCAAACTTGCTTTTCGCCATTGAAAAACACGTGCGGGCAAGATCACGTTTAGGAATTATCCTTAAAAACAGGAATTCCGCATAGTGAAGCACGAAGTCATTTAGGGAATTTTTGGATTTAAATAAGGAAATTCAGTGCTCTCGCCAAGGAATTCTTCATTTCTTCGAATCAAAACAATATGGCTGAAACGAAAGGAGAGAATGATTCCAACGAAGTTTCGAATGAAACGGACCAACTTTTTGATGTTATGGATAGTGAAGAAAAGGCAGATACGTTTGTGAAGGGATACTGTTTGTATAAACATATGACCAATAGGTATGTAAAAAGAGTAAAATTGACTTGCGTCCCCATTTAAATATGAAGAATCGCAGTCTCGCAGAGATAAAACATTGTCTATAATTTCTCACGTGAAACTTTCATGTTTGCCAAGACTATTTCAATGAGGTCATGATTAAGAAATTGATTTATTGATCATCAAATGATCAATGGGTCAATTACTTGATCATTAATTATTGATTAATTGATTATTAGTCATCAATTGCTTGATTGATTGAATATTATTAGTCATCAATTGCTTGATTGTTGATGATCATTAGTCGTCAATTACTTGATTAAGTAATGATCATTATAAGAATAATCTCTAGATATCCTTTATCAAGGTTATTTCTTGACTAAGTTATGTGTATGTATAATTATGAATATGATTGATTTGATTGATGATGATTGGTTGATTATTTGATTGACTGATCAATAATCAATTTAACTGATTATATAATATAATAATACAAGTCACTTTGGCTATAGAACCTCGTTTTCATGTATGTAACATTACTTAAAACCCAACATCTCGATCATGAAAATGAGACTCTTATTATTGGGTTTCAACTATGTGATATTTTAACATAATTTGACTCAAGTGGGGTCAATCGTTGAAACGAGGTCAACAAAAACAAAGAAACAACGCATCTTATGTAAATGAGTTCTCCAATTATTATAAAAACTGTCCGTTCCCCTTGACGCAGACCATTCACCACCATGTGACGTCATATGAAACCCGAGAATAACCAAGATGACTTTCTGGCTATTTTCTTTCCAGACCACCAACATCACCTACCCAAGGTGCTGAGAAAACTGTGATGAAATTTTTAAAAGAAGAATCATCATTGAATAAAAACTTTAGGTATATAGGCTTACAATTCACTTGAATATTGATAGCTAGGGCAGGGGCGGATCTAGCGATCACGCGACTAAGGTAAAAATTGGCTAGAAAAATGGAAAATTGTTAAATTAAAAAAGCAGTCCAGTTATCAAACTTCGCGCAGTGTAATATATTGAAAGTTTAACAGTCCAGTTTTGAAATATCATTCAGTATCAAGGCCTTCGAACATGAACGCGCAGAAAAGCGGTCTTACGCATGAGTTTTGCACGCTCTGAGTCAGATTCCAGCCATCTGATTGGCTATCTCGATTTTTGCGCGATCTGTGGGGAGTTCTGATCGCTAAAGCGATCAGGGGCTCGAATACAGGCTATCCGATTGGCTAATTCAAAACAATCCTGAATTCCCATTGGCTGGATTTTTTTGATCGATCATACCGTTCAGGCTTCATTAGTGCACGCGGTGCACGGAAAGGTCTATGACGTTTCTGGCCCTTTCTGATCGCTACTTTGCCTTGACCGCAAATTATTAAAGATCTATGGGAATATTTACTATCAGAAATTCTGAACTAATATCAGCCATGTCTGTTAGTATTTACGAAACTGTAAAGGCTGCTTTAGAGAATAACGATCGACAAAATGTCAAAGATATTGAAGCTGATTTAACAAGCGATAACGGTGTACCGAAGTTTTCTATTTAAGATTTATTGAGCGTTGTGAATAACATAAGCAGCCTGCCTCGCACGAAATTTTGGTGCGGAATCTTACATCCTGAAGTACGTTCGAGAGATCACAAAAATCTTTTGGACGGTCTTAAGATATATATATTCTATTTTAACTAGATATAGCATTATAACTGTTGTATACTATGGTGGATTGTGCGTCTGTACGCACATGCATGCTATAATATCGGCGGGTACGCGTATAAGACGTATCATAATACGAGACGAAATTTACATAATATTTTCGTCAATTTATATAAATACTGCGGCTTAATACAGGCAGTTTCAGTGTGTTTATACTTTGTTTATGCTTCTTGTGACATGTAGACTTTATATATTAATCAGATCGCTACTTAATAACACTGTTTATACCTATTTAATATTTTAAACTACAAGAATACGACAATGTAGCATGGCCTTGTGTAATACGATCTCTACAACATGTACACAACAAGTAAAATGGATCATGTTGCCATTGTGAATACTTATTTATGGCGCGTGTTTCTGCTACGAATGAAACTCGAGGAGCAGTGAATTAAACGTGGAAATTCTCTTCCTGCTTAACAATCAATCAAATGTTTTAAACTGCATCACCATATTGCATTTTTCTGACCATCCATGTCAAAGGAAAAAATATGCGATTAAATAACAATTTTTAAAACGTCAAGTCATCCTTGTCAATCTATTTCTCGATGAGAGTTGGATATTTGTTTGACATTTGGCGAAAAAGCAATTTTTTAAGTTACATTTTTTCGTAAACCGAACACATATAAAAAATATTAATTTGCTTGGCAACCCCCCCCCCCCGACCCCCTGTCAAAAGTACCTCCTCCGCCAGTCAAAAGTACCCACCTCCCCCAATGCTCAGCAACGAAATTTTTGACTAACGTACGAAAAATCCTAGATCCGCCCCTGAGCTAGGGTGAGTTTCTATATATAATCATCAATATGAACAAGCTTTCGTTGGTAGGGTAATAATATGAACAAGCTTTCGTTGATGCAACTACCTGAAAAATATTAGGAGAATTTCTACGTTTTGAGCAATTAGCCTCCTTCGTTCAAAACGTTGAAATTCTCCTTGTATTAGTTCAGATGAAGGGCCTTCCCTTGAAACGTTGAAATTCTCCTTATATTTTTCATGTAGTTGTATCCCTACCAATGAAGGCTTATTCATGAGTTCTATATGACTATCCAAAAATGACAGGGGTCACGGTTGCCAAGAGATTTCAAGATTATTTAGCAACCCTGACCTGTACAGGCCCAGATCTCTCGGCAACCCTGACCTGTACAGTCCCAGATCTCAAGATTTGGAGAGTTATTGGAATAAACAAATTAGTGCCACACTGAGTTAGGATTAAGTTGAGGTTGTCAGTATAGAAATTGAGCTTTCCCATTTGATTTAGTTTGTCCTTAATCAAGACAGATCTTAAAAATGAACAAGAAGCAAAGTTACAAGATTTCTTAATCAAACGTTTATCTCGGAGTACTGTGTACAGCAGTTCAGGGAGTCTTGCCACCCTCAGCAATACAGACATCTCAGAGAAACCTGTCATATGTTACTACAAGTTGATCAAGGGAGCAAAACTTGACTACATTTGTGACAGCAGTAACAAGTAGGTGATATATTGTGAAGTTTGAAAAATTTTGTTATTGTGTGTGACAGATTAGTTAGTGAATAGTTGAAAATTTTAACAAAAATTCAAAATGATTTTTTGGTACATTATGTAGAATGAACGAATTTGGTAGTTGTTCGATGGATTTTCTTGTTTGTTTTGTTGTTAGTGAAACAAGTAACCTGTATTTATATCCTTTTCAATGTGAACATTTCAATTTATTGTTGTTTGGGTATTGAAGCAAAAATTTAGTTTGGTTAATACAAAATTTAAGAAGATTTTCTTAGACCACTGAGTTTTCTTTAACATTTGAAACATTTCAACAAGAACTAGAAAATTTTTGCAAAGGTTATGAAACGACACTGTCAAAATCAATCCAGGTGAGTCGACTATGATACCAAATGTTTTTGTCTGGATTCACTTGAATTTGTCTAGTTTCATGCATCCAGTGTGAACACAAGTTTTAAATGTATATTTCCATTAAATATTTATTGGAATTTCTACCTTGGATAATGTTATTACCAGACGGAAGTGGATGCATCAGAAATGTTTAAAGATTTGGCTGACTGGTATGAAATTAATGTAAGCATGGTACTTGTTCACACGGAAGTATTCTTGTTAACCAAATTTCCTTTCTTGAACGAAATTATTTTTGATCATGAAAATGAATTTTCCTCTGATTTTTCTTAGGTGCTGTATGTCTGTCGCTGTACAAAATTATTCCAGTTAGAGCTGTCGTCGTTAATTAGCATGGTTAGTAGACAATGATGGTCCCCTCATTAAGAGATATAAACTCGAATATGGTGTGTGCCAACGTAGGTATAGTGACAATAACACAAGAAAGTTGCAGATTGAAAGCGATTCAACTATAGACCCATTGCACTTGACGTCACAGCGCCAGTAACGATGCATCTGGAGGACAAATTAGCAATCTATACATAATATAACTTTGTAAACAAAGCAAATTTTGTAAAAGTTTATAATAATTTTGTATTAAAATGGTTAATTTTTTCGCTGTATGTGCTTGTTGTACCCGAACAGATATTGTTAGGTAGCATCTGGAGGACACTCTAAGGATTTGTGACGTCAGTGCAATGGGTCTATACCTACCTGAAAAATACAAGCAACACTTCGATGTTTCGAGCGAAGGCGCTTCGTATGGCATAGCTTCTTCTCTCAGTGTTTTCTATTGTCTAATAACTTCCGTTATTTCTCTCAGGGCTTGCTTGATCAAACACTCTCTGTCCTGGGATGCGACGAACAACGTAAGGCGGACATACTCAGGTATGGATAAAAGCACGAAAGCTTCTGGCGTCGGTTGATAGCGTTTCATCCACCAGGTTATGATTCTCTCAATTAGCTTCCCAAAATTGTTTGTGGACTGGTATTCCCAAGATTTAAACTTCGGTATTTATAAATTACAGTTTCTAGGCTACTAATGGACAATTTGCACGTTAGACTAAATTTTAATCTAAGTAAGGAGAAGGGAATCAAATACCACAGCCAGAGCACCACAACTAAAAAGAATATAATGAAATTAGTAAAATGGCAAAATTTGGTTGCGAGATGTTTTAAAGCTTGGAAACTATCTCTAGCGTAAATCTGACCATTTTCTTTTCACTGTTTAGATTCGTTGGCGTCTGTAGCTTATCAAATCTTTTGAGCGCTCCTGTCGTAAAGGTTAATATGTGTTAAACATTTCCTATTCAACGAAGAAGAAACATATTTTTTTCTCTTCTTGAGCACCTCTCGTGACACTCGCACCCTAAATGTTTTTTTCTCTTTGAAGGAAAGCAACCACAAGCTATTGGAAGAGTTAGTTCAGAAACCTAAGAGCATTAACAAACTAACATTTTCGGATTCAGATTTTAAATTTAGTTTCGCAAATAAAGAAGGTCAGTGATGTGTTTGACAAAAAACTTCGTTCTAAATTGTTCCAGCAAGCTCCATTACTTGAATACACGGTGTTTGGTGGAGTCAAACTGCAAGCATTCTTCTCACATGTGATTGAGGTGAAATTATAATCAGACAATTGAATATTGCTGGAATTAAATCCCAGTCACAGAGATGAAAGACACTTCCACTAACCACCGAGGCTCCGTTTATACTATACAAAAATTTATTTAAACATTAGTCAAAAACAGAATTAGTGACACGTCGTAAACTCTGTTGACATTGTGTGTATAACTATACTGTATATTACTGTGTATAAGTAATGTCAATTGTTAAATACTGTAATGTACAACATACTACGTATTGTAATACTTGTTGTGTCGTATTATGTACTCCGTTGTATGTATTGTATACTTTGTTATCTTATAATCAAACTCACTTGTAGCATAGAAGAGCCACTATGTGGAAATGCTATTAAATCATTATTATTATACCGGATACCTTTCCGTAGCGGCGCGAGAAAGCACCTATCCGATACAGAATGTACAACTTTCAGAAGCTGAGCGAAACAACATCTCTCTGTTGCAATAATTCCTCTGAAAATAGAGTGTTTTTTCATGTCGCTACGGAAAACTATCCAATACAGTGTAACCAACATCCTCTATGGTTTCTCTGTCTTTAAGATATATGCGAGGTTTGCAATGACTGGGCGACAACGATGGTTGAAGGAGAGCAGGATAATCCCTTGTTCTTGAGGCAAGTCATGGAGAACTATAAGTTGAAGGTAAGTATAGATGGAAGGTGGGAGGCGGGAGGAAGAATGGAGGGGAGGGGAGGGGGGAAGGATGAATGGAAGAAAGAAAGGTGGGAGCTAGTATAGATGGATGGATGAAGAGCCACAAGCCGTGGTTATAGGTGGATTTCACTCAAGCCTTAAGCCCTGGGCAAACTAGGAAACATTGTTGTGGAAACATTTGTGTTTCTCGATGTTTCCCTGTTTGCGCACCCATGGAAACATTATTGCGGAAAGAAAATTTGCTTCCCTTCAACTTTACACATATTGCCGCTTTATGCCTTGTGGAAGCAAGTAAATTTCGTTAAATTGCATATATTTGACACCAAACACAAGATCAATACTTATAATGAATATTTAACTCGATCCGATAAATGTGTTTCCATTTGGAGTTGACCACCAAGCACTAAACGTGTCATGTGATTGAAACCGTGGCTATAAAGGAAGGACTGAGGATGAATGGATGAAAGAAGAATGGAAGGAAAGCCAGTAACGACATGATATTTTCTCCAAGGTTATTCAAGATATGAATTCATTGAAGAGATTGCTGAGGGAAGCTGAGACAGATCACTATGCTTTGTTTAGGTGAGATGACTGACGTGTTTTGGTTTGAATTTGAAAGTTAGTGATTTTTTCAACCTTCGTAAAAATGCCTAAAAAGCTGTGAAACTACAGATATGAACCTATTTATTATTGATTTATTTAAAAATTCGCCCTATTTACATAATTAAGATAGAATATACAGTATAACGTCAGTTAAATACTAGAGCTAGGAGCCTTTAAGAAACTTTAAGAAGCTTTTAGTACAAGGCCCCTATTACAGTAAATAATTCAAACGATAGCTATATGTCAGTTAATATATATAGTGCATAAAATTTTAAAGAAAGTTGTGATATAGTTTTACAATAATATAACCTCACAATAGATATAAAATTTCTTTAATTTATAATAACGAAACTGTGATCTTGGCTATACCCTCTGATCTAATATTAGATATCGGTCCAGTATAAATCGTGTGATTCATCTACTGAGTGGATAAAGGGGAGATCTCTCTGTCCTATAAATCGGGTCATTATGTTTTGCAGGTCCTACGTCTTTCTATCAAAATGTCCGAGCAGTCGTATTGTGATGGAACACATCAGACAGGAAGCTAAAATGAGTATGACGAAAGACATTTGTGATGTCATCGAGGTGCTTGATGACTTCATTGTTGAAAAAGGAGGCTTTTCAAAAATACGCGCACAAACAGAAAAATAGTTTTATAGAATAGCCATAAACGGAATTCTTTGGTGTTCATTTGGGCTTAACTTGGTTTTCAAAGGGAGGCTTTTCAAAAATTTGGTTACAAAAAGAAAAATAGTTTTATAGAATAGCAACAAATTTGGGTTTCATTTGGTTTTTGGTGTGTGGGTTAACAGGATTTGTCTGGCACCGTCCAGCTTATCATTAGCGAGCTTAAGCATGCAGGACGGCAACACGACGACGACGGCCAAAACAAATTCCTTCAAATAAATGTTAGTAAAGAAAACTTGTCGTATATTATAATTCGTATGAATTTAATACAGTATAAGAAGTTGAAAACATTGGCTTTATGTTTGGGAAGAGTTCTACGAAACCGAATTTTAAGTTGCACTTGTTACGGCTTCAAATGCAGGCGTTGTATAAACGACGTGAAAATCTGTGATTTGCCGTTGTAACCAGAACGACAACTACGTCTGAAACTCCCCCGGGGCTTTAATTATTTATTCACTTTTCATTGACTCATTGTATTGGTTGCCGTCGTCGTCGTGTTGCCGTCCTACATGCTTAAGCTCCCTATTAAATGAAGCCGGACGAATTCCCGCATGAATACCTCTGACAAGCGAAATCTTCGGAGGTAGTATTCAAAGTAAATTAATTATTATAGAGTATCTTAATATTATGAAATATATGTAAAGTTTATACTGTAAATAGACAACAGTAAGAATTAATTTTAGAAGATCCACACTCCACATTTATATCATATTGAAATTGTATTCATAATTTAAACTAATTACATACTTTTATATACCTATTTTCATTGACGTCATTTCAGTGAAATAATTGCGTCGTTTATACTGTATGTACGACTGCGTACCTATTTTTTTCTCAGAGCAAATATTTAGTTATTTCTGATTGGTTGTTTTTAACAATAGCATTATGTTCTGAACCAATCATTAAGCAGAATGATTGTCATGTTAAAATCTTGTCAAAATTTTAAAACATGGCCGGCGCCAAGCATGATTTTTGCACTTTTGTGCGTAAAACTAAATTTTATTCTTGTTTGACGGTGAAATATTACGTCAAATATTACGGAAAAGGTAAGTTAGTAAGGGCTCAAGGTTTAGTTTAGCTTAAAGCGTTTAGAAGTGCTTTATTTTGTGTAAATTTTAGTGTTGAACTCTGCCGTTTGAATTTGTAGTGTATGTTTTACTCTAGTTTTAAGTTTTGGCCTTGACTCTTTCACAGTTCTTTGTATTGTTCATGTTGTAGTATTCGTCAGAAGTAGTATTATTGTTGTAATTCAACTGTTTTTATATTATCATAAACAAGATAAAGTTTTTAAATTAAATCTTTGAATGTTTGTGAAGAATTATTTTTAATTAAAATTTGACAAAGTAGACGTTTATAATACGTTATTGCGGTAAATATTTGTGAGTGGATGATGAACAATAATAACTCAATAAATATTCTACAGTTTGTTACAGTCAATTTCAGCAGACTTTTCACCGCAAGATTCCGAACTTCGCAAATTCGTTGCCAAGTTCAAAAGTTCATAATGAAATTCACAAACAGGTTTGTAAACAAAGCCTCTGATTGGCTATTAAATCAAACCAGCCAATCAAATGCCCAGTTTACAAACCTGTTTGTGAATTTCATTATGAACTTTTGAACTTGGCAACGAATTTGCGAAGTTCGGAAAGAAATTCGGAACATTTGAGTGAAAAGTAAGTTGAAATCGACTGTAAGTAAGGCTGTGAAGACTGGTTGCTTGAAGTGGTCCACCCTTTTGCAAGCACTGCAGCAGCTGTCAATGGTGCCATAAATTTACATGGTCATAACTTTACAAAACCCCATACCCAGGCTCTTTCCTTTTCTGACTTTTCCTGAGGGTCAGGGACTAATTGGAAACCCATGGCCTATGTAAACGTTTTTGAAATGAAAGTTTCTCAGATAAGCCAACTCTGTTGCTAAGCACCTGCTTTCTTTGCCAAAGGAATTTTCAAAAGTCTAATAATATCTATGTGCAGGAAATTGTGTCTCAGTTCAAAAAATGATGAATATTGGAATGATGGGTAGTATATTATTGGACAACTACCTAAATATAGTGCTTCTAGCAGCTTCCATATAGCCTCTTCCCCCCTGAAAGTAAAAGTGAGAGGGTAAAGCCCCCCTGCCAATAAAAGATCTTGTACTTGGTGTCAAATAAATAGAATTGAGCAGGGTGCGATAATTCAATATTTTTAGCCGTACCTGACTGGTACTCCGACAACTTTTGCCGCGTACCTGATCTGGTACAAACTTAAGAGTCAAGACGTACCTAAGACTACTTCCGAGTCATGTGTTTTATACCTACGTATAGTTTACTGGTCCAAAAGCAAAAAATGTGTGGGCAATTTTGTACAAACGAATCTTTAATTATGGTATTTGTACAACATAATATAACAGTTTTCAACTGAAGCGTCGAAGTTGTAACTCGAATGCCATCGCTCATTTACATGAGTGGATTTACCGAGGGTGCTAACAGTCTGACCTCAGCTAAATTTTTTGATCACGCGCAAAGATAACCTTTTGGCTTTTTTTCATCCCAAAATATGTCGGATGCGTGGAATTTACATGTACAGCTAAAGTTCTTCACGGTTTTGAATACTTTGACAGGTTTGCTAGTTATTGCTAGAAGGAAAATGTCAGTACACGAATAGCAAATTTCCGCGTACCTACGTGGTACTTGCCTAAAAACAAAGAAGTACCAGACCATAAATTTGGGTACCCCCGGTACGTTGGTACGCAAATTATCGCACCCTGAATTGAGTAGTTGAATTTTCTTGGACCACCATTTACTGCCCTGTAAATATAGTTGTTTAAAATACATTCTTTTTCATTCTGTCATTTTCTGGTGATAAGTGACGAATGACAGAAATTCTTGTTCCAGATCATATTTTCAGCCAATTCAAAAACGATTTTCCTTTGCAAACCTTAAACTCTAAGCGCACAAAGCTTAATGGGAGCACACGTTTCAAGCTTAGTAGTTGAATTTTGCAGCTATTTGCGAGTGAACTGTTCTTGTAAGGACATATTTACCATGTCTCTAAAGGCTAATTTCCACTCAGGAAAATTATCTGTGGATTGGAACGGACAAGAAAATTTTTCTTTGTGTTAAAGTCATTAGTTCCAACCTCACAAGTTAAAGAAAAATTTTCTTGTCCGTTCCAATCCACGGATAATTTTCCTGAGTGGAAATACATGGGCCTCATATATGAATTCTAAACTGATTAAATGATGCTCCCATTATGCTTTGCACGCTTAGAGTTTAAGGTTTAGATCGAGTTTAAGGTTTGCAAAGGACAACTTTTTTTGAATTAGCTGTATAGAGAGAGCTCTCTGCGCGTGTGACTGTTCATAACGGTCTCTGGTCTGCCCGACTAAATCTTGGCTCACTTCCATATAAAACATCCGCTTTCCTAGCTGGCCTCGTTCCACACAGTACACAAAGGATCATTTCAACTTCCTTGCCGTCCCGGTATTAACAATACAAGTTCCCGTATTGACAAAAGGCCACGTGGACCCCCACTCGAAATTAACGTCGAGGTCGATCCAAAATAGATTAAAAGCGGACGAAATCGTGCGACCTCTCTCTCTTCCGCAGAGACTTCTGTTGGCTGTGATTACGATTAGTATTGAGATACATTTCACTACACTTTACATGACGGATCTTGGAACCTCTTGTTGCATAAAACGAACCTGGACGAATTTGCGCACGCTTTCCAACGCATCTTGTCCATAGATATCTTATACTGTATACACTAGATAGCGCATCTCTTTTAGTAAAATTGAAAGCCAAGAATATTCCAGCGGTTACCCCTATTTGAATAGATGGCGGCCATGTTGAAGTTTCCCACTTGCTAATAAACGCTTAAAAAACAACAATAACTTTCATTATTTGAATAGTTTGAAAATATATTTGGAATAGGTTTAACTTAATGTTTAAGTTCCCTGTTTAAGAAATAGAAAACATACGAGTCTTCTCATTTCCTGGGAATATCCTGAGTCTGCAATCACGGCTTCAATTTTTGAATTGCAGAATAATTAGATGCACTATCTAGTGTATATAAGATATCTATGGGCCTGAGCTAATAGAATAGATGGTTTCGAAACTGATTAGATTGACAATATAACTAATTATCGATGTTCGTCAACGTTTGTTCATAAATCTGGTCCTTCACCGTCACGTGTTTATTGTATTTTTGCAAAATCCACCAATTCTTGGGTTTCATTACGGTATTATGCAGTGAATCTGACGGGGGTATGCTGTACTGGAGTGAGAAAATGATACGAAATTCCACGTATTTGCCAGCAAACACAAGGCTAATACATAAAACGAACAATCGACTCGCTCTGATAACTGTGTTTTGTTTTAGAGTTGACCCCCCGTCATTTTTGTGACGTCATGTGAAACCTAAGAATAGCAATTGTCCAATTTACCCTATTGTTCGAGTCAGGGATAGGTAACTTTCCTAAAACATTGCTATTGGTTAGTTGGGAGAAAATACAATACGCACGTGACGATGAAGCCTGAAGGACCAGATTTATGAATCATAACATGATATTGTTATTTTAAAGAGTTTCCAAACCATCTATTAACTCTGGTCACGCCAGGGACTTAAGGAAAATTAGGAAACGTATGATAACGTACACTTCATGCAGGCTCCTTTGTGACTGAAAATCTTCAACAGAGCATTCTCCAGTCGAGTTTAGCTAGACTTTCCACTAGAAAAATTTCGCTATTTCAATTTCTTTTGAATTGTGAGCGGTTTCAGCACAGTGAGATTAATGGCCTGTGTGAGACAGCTAGCTAGATGCAGAACTGGTTTAATACTTTTTGTTTGTGGAAACACCACGTAAATTTATTACTGCAAAGCTTTCGATCCGTAAGCCCGCGGATCTTCATCAGTGCTAATAATGTGTATTGTTATTATTACATATTATTAGCACTGATCTGACTGATGAAGATCCGGGCTTACGGATCGAAAGCTTTGCAGTAATAAATTTACGTGGTGTTTCCAAAAGTATTATTATATATTTTATCGCCATGCATGCAAACCTACAAAGAACTTAGAACTCATTTATTCGAATGGTCATAATTCAAAAGAAATACAGCGAAATATTTCGATGAACGATGATTATTCGATTTTCACTCATGACCGGTAACTTTGATCCTGGTTTAAGTTTTTCAAATATGTAGAAGTGTTGTTTGTGTGATGTTACTCTGAGTGTATATCCACACCGGGCAGGCTTGAAAAATATGCCTGGCCAGGCATATTTTTCAAGCCTGCCCGGTGTGGATACTCAGAGTAACATCACACAAACATCTTATTCACCTGAGTACATTACACCAACACAGCAGATTTTATGTAGAAGTGCTATAACATTTTGAGTTATTTGGTCCACATATCTTTTAAATTGTCCTTTCATTGGCTGTTTTATTCGCGTTGTCGATCGAATCGCGTCCGGTGTGTCTCGACCTTTTAATTAGCGTCATTCATATGGTCGCAGATTTGAAATTTTCGATTTGAGATGCCGATTAGAATTTGCTACCTCCAGTAAGGCTCATGGCGGGGGGGGGGGGCTCATGACCGAACGTGCTTTGAAATGCAATCGGAAAAACACCCCTCACATACAACAGAGATATGTGTAAAACTAGTTTAGAAAATCGTACTCGACGTCGTCATCGATGAAACCATGCACCAACAAAGCATTTGAAGCATTTTTTTAACCCCTTTGATCAATTTGAAAAGAATTGATTAGATATCAGATTGGATAGCTCAGTATAAAGACAAACTCGACAAAAGCAGCTTCACAAATCACGTGAAACTACTAAAAATAAACCTTTGCTAGCCCAGAATTTTCGACCGAGGAATGTTTCGTGACTTACGTGTGAACTTATACCTTGCCTCCCATGTTGAGTTTAAAAGTCCGTCACAAATTACCATGCTAAGTACTTTCGCTTAGTTGTTCTAAATTATTATAATTGATACTCTATTATTTTATATTTTTAGATGGTTTATGTCAACGCCTCACGAGAAAGAAAACCTGAGCAAGAAGATAAAAAAACGTCGCAGGAAATGTTGCAATATATCCGAGCGGTAACTATATCAATAATATATTTCATTTTAGACCAGACTTATGTCACTAGAGAAATCATGTGATTGCTACTGCGTCGGTAATTACTTTAGGCACTCCTTAGACACCTACGCGTTGACATTGCGGAGTACTTTATTTAAATCTCGCGAGAGTCGTGGCTTGAATTTAAATGTCTCGAGAGTCGTGGCTCGAGAGACCAAAGGCTGCTTTACACTTGAGCGTTTTTCGTGTGTGAAAGTTGAAATCCAAGTTTCTTATGAGATTATTAAATGAATACGATATAAAGTGTATTTGTTGAGGTACTGACAAAAACCACTGCATCCATGAGCTTCTTTAAGACGATTTTAGAACAAACGATAAGGGCGCTCTTCATTAACACGGCCAGACCGGTCAGAACGGTCAAATTGTTGAATGGGACACAAGACGTTTGGGTTTCGAACCTTTCTGAACTGAAAATTTAGATAAAATTAGAATGAGGTCCATTTTCGCTAGATGTTTGAGAAACATAGACCAGATCTTTCCATTGATACAGAGACAAAAATTTAGGTCTGACCGGTCAGGCCATTAAATGGAAAACGCCCTAAGTTGAAGCCAGCTCAGTTTATTGCCAAAAAACGTTTATCGAAGACTTTGGCGTTTTTCGAAGATTTTGGCGTTTTTCAAAAAATGGCATTACAGAATTTTTTATATTTTGCTTATTGTTAGTCCATGTTCTAAGTAAAATAGTGCACGAAAAAAAATTGGGGTCACCGTGCTTATTTTCCTTCTACGCAAAGCAATAGACTATCTTTAGTCTTCTTGATGTATCATGTTGTACTGTAAATTGTCACTCATTCATACTCCCCTCATGGAAACCACGGCTAACAGTTGATGAGGCTAAGCCTGTTAAAATAAAGTCTATGTATGTATGTATGTATGTATGTATGTTTGTATGTACTTACATTTATTGAGGTATTCAGTTTAGTATTTTTTCTTATATATTTTTGGAACAATTGTTTCTTTTGTGTGTCCTGATATGAGACTTCATGCATGGTAACCAAGATTAATTTAAGTTGTTGCTCTTAATCTGTCCAATACTATATAATTATGTAAATAGTGTTGTAGTCCTTGACCTTATCTTTAATTTATGTCTATACTAGGTTTTTTGGGTCAGGTTGGTCTTCACATGGGACTCGTGTCCTGTTGACCATGCCATCAACCATATTTAGTTATATAATATATACACCGCTAAAAACGGTCAGGTTGTTGCAATATTGATGAAAACAGGATTGAACAATGTTGTGTGGCCCACATTGTTCACAGTTGTCAACAATGTTGAACGATATTGTTACATCCGATTCAGGCTCAACAGTACTGTGAACAATGTGGGCGCACATCATTGTTCAATCCTGTTATTAAACAGCAGGCTCATAATTTTTACGCGTGTAAGTGTGTGGCTCATGCAGTTTTTTGTTTATTTGTAATAATTTTATAGTACTTTTGTATGGTTGTAAACCTGCAGTTTATTTACGGTGTGAAAGGAGTTAAATTTAACAAATAGATAAGATTTTGCCGTTGTCTGTTCAGTTATAGATACACAATATGACATCATAATGTGGGAAGAACAAAGAAGTGGCTCACGAGCCGCCGAGGCGAGTTTATATAATAAAAAGAAAACCCCAAATTAAACAGGTAAATAGCTTACTTTTATCCACCCAAACATTTGGTAATTTGAAAAAGACAAAATTTTACAAATATCACGCGTACATGATCTATATAAATAAGGGGATGCTATTGGATAAGAGTTTGTGTGACGTAATTCCGTGTGTCTGTCCTCTATTAGATCATGACTCTCGACCAATGAAAGCGCTTGAATTCTTAACGTTATTATATAAAAAGAAATAGATCGACACAAAAAGAAATAGATATAAAAAGAAATAGATCGACACAAATGAATATTGAAACATCGATGTTGCCAGAACTGTTCCACGTTACCAGATAGCGAAGTTGATACTATCGACGTTCGCCAGTCCATCAACAGACTAAGTAACTTCGGGTTGGGAGAGATGGAACTCACCTGAAAAATACAAGGAGAACTTCGACGTTTCGTGCGAAGGCCCTTCGTCGTGAAGTTAGTATATAGCCGCTGAAACACACCGTTCATGATTACATCAATACTGACAATGGCCTTCACCGCTTTGTCGGAGTTTATGGAGGAATTTATAGGTCGATAGATGAAAGAAGAGAAGAAGGAAAAAGTTTCGTGATTGAGAGTTTAACGTGATCACTCAAATTCCGTGCCTTCTTGGAAATTCTCAAATTTCGTGTCTTCTTGGAAATTCTCAAATTCCGTGACTTCTAGGAAACCCACGATATATCCGGCCGCGTCCCGGTTGTGAAACCTCTTAATGTGATCCTCGTTTTCCCAGCACTGGTTTCATCTTCATATTTCCGTGAATGACTTATAAGGCGAATCTATAGGACGCGAGATCCATCCACGTTGCCAAAACAAACGTAAACAAGTATCACGCAAGACCTACTGTCAGTGGATCTTCTCTTTCATTTCGGCGTTGATGTGTTTGGAGCCCCTCGTTAGTTTCTTTAGTCTGGTTTACACTATCAAAGTTTCTGTGATCACAGTAGGAATTTTGCATGGGGAAATTCTATAAGTTTTGAAGTATTTGTAAGAAATGTTTGGGGGAACTGACTCAGTGCTAATCATTAGGGACTTTAAACGGCAAACTTCAAATCGCATTTGAAAGTAAGGCCTACAGTTTCGACATGCAGCTAAAAGTAGCTAGCTAATTCATGCTCCAATTTTAGCGCACAATTAAGTTGTCCTAACTTCAAACAGCTGACAGTTGACTTCAAATTACGATTTGAAATTTCCCGCGTTTGCGATTAGCGGTTTGCCGTAAACGTCAATTTTAAAGTCCCGCATTTCTCTCAAACATATCTTACAAATCCTTCAGAATTTAAAATTTACTTATTCAAAATTTCTACTGTGATCACAGAAACTTTGATAGTGTAAATCAGACTTTAGGATATATTAGTCCATTATCAGACTGCCTTCCCTCCTTTAATAATAATAAAGTTAATAGAGGAATCCTGTTCATAAATAAATCCAAATATTATCATCTTTGTCTATCAAAGTTTGTTTTTCCCACCACTATTTTCTTTATTCTCACCCCGTTTCCTGTTCCTAAAATAGCCTCATTCTACGTCCCGCAAAACGTACTGTGAACCTCTTTGTATATTAATGTAATCTCGGGACGTCCGCTCTCCTCTTTATGCTGAGAGTACACAAACACCAACCTCGTTCCCAGACAAACACTTCCGAAATAGACTTATTAGGCCAATGGCGAATCCAAGCCACTCCGAATCAACGCCTTCTCACGGGTTACTCAGACTTGTCCGCATTCGAGACATACCAAAGTCATGTCATGAGACCGCTGTTGACAAACTCCACGCTTTCCTCACCTCCTTGCTAAGTAAGTTGTTTCCGACACGAGAACTGTTGCCTAAATCCACATCTCGCCTCCTTGTTCAGTTGTTTCCGACTGTACGTTGCGGTAACCGATCTTGACGTACTGTTACGTAGAAGAGTAGGTAGTTCGCATAATCACTTGAAGCTCGCCCATCAACAGTGACTAACAGTTCCGCTTTACTGTGAAGTGTATATACAGTTTTCTTACCGTGCAGAGGAGAGACAGAACTCCGTCAAGTATCTTGCGGTCGTCCTCATATCTGCTCCAATTCTCAATCTTCATCCTCGAATCTCGATCTTAATCCTTGTTCCACGAACCTCGAGAATATATCGGAAACTTCCTGTTTATTCGTATAATTATCCCGAAGTCGTTCTGACAACAATCTCAGTACTCCTGGGACGTCGAGACATCAAGCACGAGTTGAAACTCGACACAAACATGGCCAACGAGCAATACCGTGATCTCTTGGAAACCAAGCGTCTCGAGATAGTGAAAAGTATCAACTGTGAGCGAAGTCTACTGCTTAACCACTTGCGTGCAAATCAGGTTTTTGATCAGGAAGATTGCGAGCTGATACTAGCTAAGACTACAAACGATGCTAGGGTCGGGAAACTTATAGATTTCCTGCTCAAGAAAGGCCCCGATGCTTACCAGTGCTTTCTTGATGTAGTTCAATTCGACAATCCGACATTGTTTGAATCTTTAACTGGGGAGAAAGCAAGTAGCAGTAAGTTGCCTCATTGTATTACAGAAATTATTTATACACGACTGTCTGCTTCTAGTGTACGTATAGCGATGAACAATAATTCACTTCAACTTGAATATATGTTCTTCCAATTTGACCTGATAGCTCAATTGCTAGTTTCGTCGGCTAAGCAGATTTTGTTTGACGTATATGTCAAGTTTATGATGACAGTATATAGTGTTTTTGTTATAAATATGTGGTATCAAATCGTCCTTGATGGTTGGCTCGGTGTTAAATTTAAATTTAAAATACGTTCTACTGCACGAGCTTAGCCTTGGTTGAAGGATCTAGCCACTATACTGGCATCTCGGCGAAGAGCCTTCGCTCGAATCGGCGATGTTTTGCTTTATATTAGATATTCAGATCTGTTGGTGAAACTGTGGGGGTTATTTGGGGTCGTATCAATGTGTAGAACGGCTATATCAGAACTATCCTAGCTTTCTGGGTACATCAACTCTTTATTATTCAGAGGCTTAGAATCGACTGAATACAAAAATGAAACTTGCCCTAGATATTGAATCAATATAGTAATTTAATCCTGCATTTAAAATCTTACATGAACGATGACAACACTGTCAGTTGTTTGTAGTGTGTTGGTATAATAAGTGCATAAATGTATACATGAATAAAATATTTCAGGTTTTTACATATACAATATCTTTTATACACGCAATCTATTTCCAGAATATCGCCGTAGGCCGCTGTACAGAGGCTATCACATATTGTATGAGGGGATATAAGCGATATCTATAGTATTGATACTGTAACATGCAAATATAAGTTTCGATTCCATGCTGTGCGAGCCTGTGTCCTACCCATTATTAATATAAATGTCGGCCGGCACCACCACTGCCAAAATGCCAGGAAATTTTCTTACAGCTTGCATTTTTATAGCCTCCTCCCCAGGCAACTCTTTGGCACAGAGTCTTTGGCAAAAATTGGCAAAAGCATTATGAATAACAGCGAATTTAAAGTTAGGGATTGTTATGTATCAGTAATACTAGAATACTTTTGCCAAAGAGTTACCTGCGGAGGAGGCTAGCATTTTTATTTCATCTTATATACTTGAATGCCAAAAATAATTCATTGATTATTGTTGAAGAATTCCTACTCTCAAGTCGAGATTGTGTTTCAAGATTGACGTTTATCACAATGTGCGCGGCACCATATACGTTCTCTAAAATCTACATACACAGGAAGTGTAGTTGAAAAATATAGAACAAAACATGACCGAAGATTAGCATCTTGAAACCCAAAATATGAGGCAAACAAGAAAGTGGGTGAGTTTCTCGTTTGACTCATATTTTGGGTTTCAAGATGCTAATCTTCGGATTATGTTTTGTACTATATTTTTTGAAATTGTCGGCTGGTATTGGTTTTTTCTTTTATATTTGACTCGCACAGGAAATTTTATACTAATATTAATATGACTAATGTGGGTTGAAGTAATGTTTCAGTAATATAAACTAGCATAATATTTGTCGTTATATGAATACAAATTTTGTTACAGCACCAAACAGCACCAGCTAGGAAATTGCGAGTATAATTAAAAATGTCAACATGTATAGTTTGCAGGACGGAAATATCGGCTTTATAGTAGTAATGTTCCATCTTTATACTTGAAACAAGTATATTATACTTGAAACAAGTAGTAATCGTAGTGTTAGAAATGTTTTAGTGATGATTGCGAATAAGAATAACGTTTTCTTAATACAAATGTGTTTGTTCAACAAGTACCGCAACGAAAGTGTAGGTATTGAAAAGTCAAGTGCTTGTCATGCTAATGACAAATGGCCTCCTCCTATCCGTTAATCCTAATAGTTTAAAAAATCAAATTCCAGTGAATAAACTGGCTAATATAATTATACTCATAAGTCATAATGGGCTCCTTTATACCTTAATTGTTGTATATTCATATCTTTGAATTCCTGTGACTGTAATCATTGGATTCTTGTGACTATGTAATTATATCGATATGTTTATATCGATATGTTGGTTATTCATGACAGGGAGATACTGTTAGAAGGAAATGATAGCTATTGAAATATTAGCAGCCTTGGATGTGTTTGTTCTTGCCAACGTCAAAAAAAAGTGAAAACACTTAAGTATTAAGATACTCTTACAGTTGGAGTGAAGCCCCTTCCTCATTACGCGCATATTTTATTTGCTCTTGGACGTTTTATGGGCTACATATTGTTAAAAATGTTAACATAATCTGAGACTGAAACACTCATTAAAATTATAATAAGTATGGAAAGGAACAAACCACGCTACGATTAGGGCATAACTATATGCAATAAAATATTTACCTTTAATATTAAAAACAAATATCTCAAGTCAACATCTATGCGCTGTTTGCGGAATTTATGCTGTGTGGGGGACGTGACGGATTTCCAATATTAATGTCAATACATGTGTAAACTGCGAGGCGGTATTTCACATTTGAGTTGGCACTCGCTTAAACGTGCGTCATCAATATCAATGTTAATAGGATAAGTACGTGGCAGAGTTTCAAACCACGTAGCATTTCTAATACGTTCGTAGGCAACTCTACCTTTTTGGGGCAATTTTCTTCTCTCACTTTTGGTCATTGAGCGTCATTCATAGAGATTTACTCCATCTTCAGGTAGTTCATCTGAGATGGAGTAAATCTCCGCAACGTCGTTGGGTAATGTAATAAACACACTTAAAAAACGTCATTCTGTAGTCTACACCGCTTTGAACACAAATAATGAGGCTTAGGGAAAGTTTGTTTCCTAAACATTTTGTTACGAATGTCTTGAGAACATTTCAGATTGTTTAAAATGTCTAATTCTGAACGATATGAGTTGTGAAGTAATATTAACACACTGATGTTGTCGAAGCACAAAACCAATTCAATGAAAAGGACTTTCGAGAAATGAATGAATAATGAAATAAGGAAGATTTGGGGAAGAAATTGCTAGGGGGAGGGGGGTTCTATAGAAAAATATAATAGCCTATTATTGCCACATGCACGTCAAGCAATCCTGTTTGACTGTATTTTAACGTATTATGGTTGATTACCGTGCAAAAAGATGTTTTAAATAAATAAATAAATACTTGGATTGTGGACTTGTGAAATTTTTGAAAGCCTTCGTGGGAAATCTGGTCATATTTTTAAAAGTTCTCTTCTACGTTCAATATCTTCACGGAATTGTACGAAAGAAAATCTACTCCACACGTCACTAACCTGAGAGGAATCCACTCCAGACGTTAATGGCGTAATTCTCTTTGTTTATTTCTGTTATCAATGACCATGTCTTTGGCTCGTGCTTTGCAATACGAGATATATCCCCCTCCATACGAGAAATATCCCCTCCATACGAGAAATATCCACTCCATACGAGAAATATTCACTCCATACGAGAAATATCCACTCCATACGAGATATATCCACTCCATACGAGAAATATCCACTCCATACGAGATATATCCACTCCATACGAGATATATCCACTCCATACGAGAAATATCCACTCCATATACGAGACGTATTCACTCCATACGAGAAATATCCACTCCATACGAGAAATATCCACTCCATACGAGAAATATCCACTCCATACGAGATATATCCACTCAATACGAGATATATCCACTCCATACGAGAAATATCCACTCCATACGAGAAATATCCACTCCATACGAGAAATATCCACTCCATACGAGAAATATCCACTCCATACGAGATATATCCACTCCATACGAGATATATCCACTCCATACGAGATATATCCACTCCATACGAGAAATATCCACTCCATGTACGAGAAATATTCACTCCATACGAGAAATATCCACTCCATACGTCATTGACTTTTTGACTTACAGCCAAGCATCAATGTGTGTTCGCTTTCTCTTTTTGTTGTAGCGGCTACCTCTTCGCCGCCCGCGCATTCACTCCCTAATTTTCCCCGCCCGCTCGTTTCCGGACTGCCTGTGGAGGCGGTAGTCTAACTCGTGAATCTCCGGTTCCGATTTTCCTTCGTCTGTTGCTCGGTGGAGGCTGTATTGTCACTCCACCATTCTTCTGCTAGCCAGCTCCGATTCTGTCCATCCTTCATCCACCTGTAGTTTCTTGATCTTTAGATCTTTACCCAGTTTAACTGCTCTAGTCTCAGACTAACGGCCAGGGATGGCTGCTCCTACTCTTGTATGTCTGTTCTTTGTCATGTCCAGCGTCTTGTTTAGTCGCTGATTAAGCGGAGATCGCCTGCTCGTCCCCCATCACGTCCCTTCTCATGTCCACCGTCTCGTACATCTCGTCTTCTGTGTCTCTAACGTCGTCTCGCTCCCTGTACTCTTGTTTCTATCCGGCCATTTAAACAAAATACCTGTTTCCGTATTTGCGTCCTACGCCTTGGATGTATACTGCTGTGCCGTGCTAGAACACACCTCAACTGAAAGAACTTTTTCTCTCTGTTTATTGTTCTTATCAATATAATGAGCGTGAATTTGTTTGTGTTTTATTCCACTATACATGTTTCCATGGCTGTCAATTCCTTTCTTGCTTCCCACATGCTTCGCCATGTTTCTAGATCATCCACAAAACACCGACCACCACGCTTTCAAGTTAGGAGACCCGGGTTCAATCCTTGGTTCGAGCTCTACTCAAGGTCTTCAAATAATTGAGAAGAAAGTGCTACCTTTACATTCACATCTGTAGTGGTTAGACTTTCGCGTCTTCTCGTATAAGGATGTTAAATCGTATGTTACAATATATATTGTAACATTATCTGGGCTAAAACATATAGTACAAATTTAGGAAAAATTTTTAAACTACAAAAACGTATGACACGAATAATTGCTAACCTTGGATTTAGAGACCACACAAAGCCCTTATTCTATAAGCTGAAATTATTGACTGTTTATGACATAAATAAATACCAAACTGGAGCCTTTATATTTAGATGTATTAACTATCCTCGTACTCGTTCATAATGATGAAATTCATAACTATAATACCAGAACTGCCAGCAAATTGCATATCACTCAAGTAAGAACCACAACTAGAAAAATGACCCTAAGACAAAGCGGGACCCTATTCTGGAATTCGCTTGATGACACTATCACTCTGTCAAAAACATTAAAATCATTTCAAAAAAAGCTCAAATATTTATTGTTTGATGAAATGATGAAAAGCTGAATTAGTTTATTTTGGATAAGAAACCCTGCTCAGTTTGTACTCGACCTTGGTAAAATTGGTGATTGGCATTCTCTACAAACTCCCTGGAGTTTTCTTCTGCCAATCTTCATCGATATTACATTTTACTCTTTCCTTCTATTTTATAATTAAATTTATAGCTTTTTCATTATAATATGTATCCGTCTGTTTAAATAATCCTACCTGCTTGTAAATATTTGAATATGGTAAATAAATATTGATTGATTGATTGATTGATCCCCTATCAATTGGGCAATACAGTAACCTGTTAGGAAATCCGCTCACCAATGAGTGTGAAACTCAGATAAAGATCTTATCATGTTCTCGCTATCAATGGCCAATGTGGTTTGTGTTGACGTTTGCCGTGTTCATCAGCATGTTGTCGAGGATATCTAATCTCGATTCTGATCTCGTGGCGTGCTGCTTCTGTGTCTCTAATACTTCCTCAAAACTTAAAGGCACAGTTCAGCCTTTTGAATGATGATTTCTAAGGCGCATTTCAGCCCTTTTAATTGAAAAACTAAGTAGGAAAATCAATTATGCATAATTCAAGATCAGCAAGCTTAATGTTTTTAACATTTTAAAACATTTTTATTGTTAAAAACATTGAGTTTACTGATCTTGAATTATGCATAATTGATTTTCCTAGTCAGTTTTTTCGATTAAAAGGGCTGAAATGCGCCTTAAAAACCATCATTCAAAAGGCTTAACTGTGCCTTTAAAGAACTTTGTTATTTCTTACCTTTTTCAATAGAGCTTATAACAACTTAGGTACTGACCACTCCGGTCAAAAATCCTCACTACTGAGGGGCGGCCATATCGGAAAATAATAATAATGTGTTTTGATCTTTGCTTTCCCCGTTAGTTTCGCTTTGTTCACTGTGAACACACACATGTGACCATTAAGTACCTGGACACGACACGTGCAATATTGGAAGGGTTACTTTCGAAAATTACACAGAGTTTTCGATTCCGTGTTGTACCAGCAAGCACTTCTGGTTCAACTTACACCTTACTTATCCTTCTTCCAGTCCTAAATTCCTAATCCTAACCGCGAGATAATATCAACTCTGCTGTCAGACACTTAAATTATAATCCACACCTAAATAGCAATCATAATCAGTTATCCTTGCCCTTATCTTTCGGAGATAAGACTTGCAGTATTGCGATTTGCGAACTTAACGTATTTTGTCGTTGACAAGACAAACGTCGTTGCCCCGGCTCCCCTGACAATGTTTGGGGTAATTAACATTCACATCAGTTCATGGGGGAGTGTGGCGTGGCCAAGCTAACCATGGCAACTGGTCATGCTAAGCTAATAAACCTTCATCTAAATATGTTAAAGACAATACATTTCTAAAGAGTAGCATCACAAACATCATATTCACCTGAGTACATAACACCAATACACAACGAAAGTAACATTTCTAAAGGTTTGAATATTGCAAATCATTAAGAATTTGCATAGCATGATCTGTTGCTATGGCTAGTTTCGCCATAGATAGGTTTCGGGCGTAGCTGGCAAATATCATTAAAGATTCTGCGAATTTTTTATAAAAGGAAGGTAGTCCCAACCAATTATGCATAAGATTGTAATTTCCTTTCTACTTTTTAAAGCGAGCATTCAGAGCATGCGGAAAAGTGTGATATATGCGTGGCTGTAATAGCAATGACTTGTGCAAGCTGTAAATTTCCTGTATATCATGACCTGTTTTGTACGCCGCTGCATGTATTAATATAAATAACCAAGTTGGCAAAATGTCATAATATAAAGGAAATTATAAACAAACTTAAAAATTCTTTAAACCTATGAAAAAGACTTAGTTTAGTTGAGAAATGTGAAATAGCTCGTAAGGTCCACTAATTTGAACATGTTTTAACCCGTCTGCGCTGACCTGTTAGTATTCAATGCTGTAACTGAACTAATATAAAACTTTAATCGTTCTTATTATCTACTTGGATTGACAAGTGATGACGTGAATTGATTTGTTAACTAGTTTCGATCCGGAAGTGAATGTGTTCGAGCTCGCACGTGCGTGAAAGAGGTTCGAAATTCCATTGGTTCATGATCATTTTTGTTCTAATAGTTATGAATGATCGAAACCAAGACTATAGAGAGAGATTATTTTGGACGATTTTGTTGCCATGTGGTATATATAATGTTTGGGGTACCATTAAATCATATACAATGTACCATAAGGTTTATATTCTGTTAAATAAACATATTGATATAATGTGGGGTTTTAGATTCCAGTTTTGTCAATTACTACAGTATTCATTTAAATTAAAAGGCTGTTTACTATTTTCGACCAATTATCATATTTTTCATCGGAAAATTCGTTACATGTTTAACCTTCTAGAAATATTTTTAATATAGTTTATAAGCCTTCTGTAAATAGCAGCACATTTTCACAGCTAATCAATCAATCATCACTTAATTATTATTCATCTTTAGAACATGATTCAATATTACAGAACATTTTTGTAGACACAAAACACCAAGAAAAGAGTTTGCAAAAGCGATACATATAAAAATGGAATAATGTTTTCTGTTGAATAATGTTATACATGGTTACAGCTCTCTCATTTAGAGAACAAGTTTACACACATATACGTTGAAGTTGCAGATTGTCGTAGCACTCTGAGAGCATTCTTGCAAAGCTCACAGAAATAGTCCTAATTTGAAGCACGTAGCTAAGAATTCTACCCTCTACATGATTCCTTGTAGCTTGTTTTTCTAAAATTTTGATAATCGAATGTCTGGGACAGACAAACAATTTCCCTTTCAGAGTTTAATTGATACACTCGACATGTGGTGCCACATCCGGTTTCGATCCGGAAGTGAGCTAGGATTCCCCTTTCTACCAGTAGGCGGCAGTTGTGTTGGTATAGATACATTAGGTAACAATCGACTGTTCGAATAAGGTTGTGATTTGCTGACATTGTGTGTTATGAGTATACGGGTCTCTGGAGTTTGTGTGGCTGCTACCTAACGTTATTGCCAAGGTACTCATATAGAGAGAGAATATATATATGATGTGTAAATGTAGAATGTGTAGGTTTTCTTTACATTTCTTCAATTTTAATCGTGTTTGGGCTTGAAGTCGTTTTTTTAAGCTATAAAGATACGAGGCGCGATGTAGACTGTAGTGCTCTAATTTGACCCTCTATTAATCTGTGGATTATATATATGAATATATACATACAATGTGTTGTATAAATATATATGAGTATATACATTCTACGTGTACATTGCAGTTGTAGGTAATTTGATGGGTTTGGACTTGAACTCGAGTCTGTTGAATATATAGATTATAATGTATAGTGACTACAGAATTATGAGAATTAGAGGAGAAATGTATTGCTGGTTAATTCGTATATATTGCGTGTATGCAAAGAGAATACGGTTTATTCTTATATAATATTAATTTTGATGGGTTTGAGGCTGAAACTTTGAACGTCTTTAAGATATGAAGATATACAGGTAGAGTAGTTAGTTCACAACTTACGACTGAACTATATACATTCCCTCTCAAACTCAGAATAAAGTTAGAGAGAGAATGTTATTTTTGGTGGAGAAATGAACAGTTATTAATAACTTCAAACGTTTTGTTCGCAGCGTCAGGATAGCGTATATGTAAACGCTGCCGGTTGGTTTTTGGTAAAATGTTCTGACCCTAAAGTTTTTTGGTAAATTCTTGTTTACCTAACAGACTTCAAACCGTCGGTTCTCAGCGTACATATATGGATTGCATGTCCTTTCAAATTTGAGCGAAGATCCTTGTCCACTTAACTCCCTAATAATTTTGTCACAAAGCCAGAACTACCGCAGTCAATCTCTTATTTGTTCACAATCAGCGCTCCTGACTCTTCGTAGCTAAGTTTGGCTAAAACGAAACCTGATGAATTGATCTTTTGTTTTGTAGAACCGAATGCCCTGATGAGGCAGTACTTCGTGTTTGAACGTAAGTTAAATTTTGCGTGACTGTAATTTGTGTTTCCTTTCACATGATTCGACTACTCGTATGCGATTCACGATTGTCATTTTGGCGTATGAAAACGACTGCTGACACCACTATTCCTGTTCATCAGTTCATGGTGAAATTTGAAATGTGACATCTTTACACGCATTTATTCGAATAGATACGCCAGGATAAGAATCGTATACGACTAGTCCCGTGTAGACGGACCTTATGATGTAATGTTCATGGATTGCACTTCCAAATTCCCACAGCTAGAGTAAGTATAAATAGAACATCATCGTATAAAAAAATTACACAAGAAGCTAAAATTAGACAGGTCAGCTTTGTTTACTGTAGTACAAGGAAGTTAAACATTGCCAGCAATGTGAAAGGACGCGGTCATCGACGTTTTTCTATCAGCAGTATTTTGGCTTGTATGTTTGTCTGGTCACGGGACTGCATCAGAAATATCAGAGTGGTGAAGTATGTTGACGCGCATCATGTGAATTACCTCGATACGTCCTGCACTCGTATGACACGTCTTGCACGTTTCACCAGGAAATACAAGCTTGTTGATGGCACAAGTATTTAGTATAAGCTTGATCTGTGTTTGCTAGTGTGGGTAGTGCCAAGAAAATTAACAAGCTTTCGTTGGTAGGGATCCAACTACCTGAAAAATAGAAGGAGAATTTCGACGTTTCGAACGAAGGCCCTTCGTCTAACTCCTGACGAAGCGCCTTGGCTCGAAACGTCGGAATTCTTATATTTTTCAGGTAGTTGCATTTCCAACGAAAGCTTGTTCAAGTATTTAGTATATTGATCCATATCTGTGACTGGGGTCTGATTTCTTCAATTTGCAGTTGTCCGATTATAATTTAATCTCGGTCACATATGAGGGAATTGCATCTAATTGTTTCCGCCGAGCACTTTTATTTCTTCCTGATCCTCACTGGACCTCTAGGGAGAACAGTTTAGAGCTGATAGAGCTATCCAGTATAAATAAAGTTAGTTTAGTTTAGGTTTCCTCCTGTAGTAACACTGGATCAATAAGAGATGATCCTTACTGGACCTCTAGGGAGAACAGTTTAGAACTGATAGAGCTATCCAGTATAAATAAAGTTGGTTATATTTAGGTTTCCTCTTGTAGTAACACTAGATCAAAAAGAGATGATCCTTACTGGATCTCTAGGAAGAACAGTTTAGAACTTATAGAGCTATCCAGTATAAATAAAGTTAGTTTAGGTTTCCTCCTGTAGTAACACTGGATCAATAAGAGATGATCCTTACTGGACCTCTAGAGAGAACAATTTAGATCTGATAGAGCTACCCAGTATAAATAAAATTAGTTTAGTTTAGGTTCCTCCTGTAGTAACACTGGATCAATAAGAGATGACCCTTACTGGAACTCTAGGAGTCTAGGGAGAACAGCTTCCTTTTTTCCATCCAACATTTAACAAACATACGCGTATATCATGATCTATACAAATAAGGGAATGCTATTGGATAAGGTTTTGTGTGACGTAATTCCGTCTGTCCTCTAATAGATCATGGCTCTCGACCAATGAAAACGCTTGAATTCTTAACGTTATTATATCATTTTAGCTGGACAATTATCTCAGCTGCAACCTCTGGTAGAGTATCAACAACGCATGTTGCAAGACCTCACAGACAGCGCAAAGAGATATCGAGAAGTTTTAAAAATTAACGAAGCACTGGAGAAAAAATTGGAAAATGCCAGCAAAGATTTAGAATTTGAGAAAGCGAAGAGAAAACATTTTGAAAATAGGTAATTTGGTTGTTTTTTATTGTTTTTTTCCCAATAGATTAATTTATTAAATTCTTATTAGTAGGTTAATATATAGTGGATCTCCATAATGGTGGGATCTCGAATGGTCTGTGTGCCAGTTAGTAGTGACCTGTTACAAATTACTACCTGTTAAAAATCTGTTACCTTTCTTCTTTGAATATTACCCGAATATTACACATATAAAAATCTTATTTAGGGCATGGATAATAAAATAAATGGATAGGAAACTAGCTGACGTGACCTAATGTTTTCAATGGGCTGATGGCGTGGTTGGATGTTCAAACCTAGTTGCAAACCAAATTCTCAAAAACGGCATGTTTAGCAATAATGCAGCAAAACATTTTAGTCAAAGAGCAATTAAATATAACCACGCCATTCTACGATGAAAACTCTATGTATTCCCAGTCAATTTTAGCAAATATTTCAAGCACTAAACAGTGAAAAATACATCGCAAATTTCGTTAAAATTTGTGACGCCAATAGACAACTTGCATGTTAGACTAATTTTTTATTTAGGCAAAAAAAAGTAAATTCCCGTAAAGAATTTATTGAAATTAGTAAAGTTGCAAAATTTGGTTGCGAAATGTTGTAAAATACAGAAAATATAGCCTTGCGAAGTTTGCATATTTTCAGTATGTTTATATTACGTGCGGAAATTGTTACCATTTTTGAGCCGAAAATGGTAACAATTTCCGCACGTAATACAAATATACTGAAAATATGCAAACTTCGCAAGGCTATATTTTCTGTATTTTACAACATTTCGCAACCAAATTTTGCAATTTTACTAAGTTCATTATCTTCTTTTTAACTGTTGTGTTTTATTTCCTTCTCTTTACTTAGATTAAAATTTAGTCTAACATGCAAGTTGTCCATTTCGTAGCTACAAATGTAAAAAAAAAATACAAAACAAAGACGAAAAACATTTATCTTGAATACTTTGTCGTGGCTTAGGCATGTTTTTAAAACAATTAGACCAGTTTATGCTTCAAGATCACCCTTTTAAAGTGGAAAATATAGCCAAAAAAAACAAAAATGCCCAGAACTTTGGTAATATTCGCAATACGCGTGACGTCACGTTTTCAACAAGGATGAGTCAATGACGTCAGGAAGTTTCCTTATCCAGTTATTTTACAATCCATGTTTAGGGTTAGTGCAGTGGACGGTGAAGTGGATTGGGACACAGGTTAGGGTTAATGGCATATTTTGATTATCTTTTCCGTTTCTCAGGCTGACGCAGGAGATGGAAATTGATGAATCCTTGATAAAGAATGAGTTGCTGCTTTGTCACGAGTACGATGAAATGGAGAAAGGCATAGCAGATCGAGATGTCTACATCATCGTGCTTCAAATGAAGTTGCTTTCGGAGAAAGAAGAAGTGGAAAAATTGAAGAAGACGATGGAGGAACTGGAACATAAGAATGAGAAGATGGCAAGAGAATTGAGACGCGTTTCAATGAGTTATAATCAAGAAAGGTAGGTTGTTGGTGAGGGGGGAGAGATGTTTGTTGATAGTTGTGTTAGTGAGAATTGATGGTGGTGGTGTTGATGGTGGTGATGATGATGATGATGATGATGGTGATGTTGATGGTGGTGATAATGGTGGTGATGTTGATGGTGAAGATTGATGATAATGGTGGTGATGGTGATGTTGATGGTGAAGATTGATGATGGTGGTGGTGATGATGATAATGATGATGGTGATAATATAAGTGGCGATGGAAGTGGTGATGATGGTAGTTAATGGACCATTTGCGTAATAGACTAAATTTTGATCTAGACAAGTTGAGAAATGTTGTAAAATGCGGATAATATAGCCATGCGAAGTTTGCCGTTTTTCAGTCATTTTGTATTACGCATGGGAAATTGACAGCCTAATCGGGTGTTGGGGCATCAATTTCCCGTTTGTAATACAAAATGACTGAAAATTGCAAATTTCGCAAGGCTATATTATCCGCATTTTACAACATTTTGCAACGAAACTTCGGAATATTATTAATTTTGCGATGCTCTTTCAAGCTGTGATGCAATTTGTGTCTAGATCAAAATTTAGTCTATAATGCAAATGGTCCATTGTAATGATGGTCATTCTTGATATTTAAACAATACTGATCATTTTTCTTGAACCTTGTCCAGATGTCAATCTTTAAAACTCAGTGAATGTATCCGAATACAAGGTGACGAAATACAAAAAATTGACGAACTACGAAAACAACTCCGAGAATGTAAATATAAAAACATCGTCGCGACGGAGGAACGAGACTCGAAGATCCAGGAATTGGCGGAACTCGCGAAATGGACAGAGGCTCTGAAAACGCGTTTTGATGCCATTGAAAAAGAGAGACAGAGTTCGGTTGAGAAAACTGAAGTCGTCTCAAATAATTGCGTCTTTCTGCAAGAAACTGTCAGGTTAGTAGAGTACAATTTTGAACGGTTTGTGCAACAACAACAACAACAACAACAACAACAACAACAACAACAACAACAACAACAACAACAACAACAACAACAACAACAACAACAACAACAACAACAACAACAACAACAACAACTCAGTTTATTTCAACAAGTCAATCTTTTCAAAGACAATTTCACACCAAAAACAAAGACAAACGACAACAAACAAAATTAATGAATAATAAAGCCTAGATGAAATTGCAACAACGAGAAATTAATAACCTTGCAAACGAGTTATTATGTTAGAAAATCAATAACTTTCAAGAAAGTTTTCTTTAACTTTCAGTTTAAATATATTCAAAGAAAAGAGATTTAAAATTGTCAGCAATAGAATTCCATATGGGCAGTGTGGGTAGGAATGTGAAAAATACAAGGAGAACTTCGATGTTTCGAGCGAATGCGCTTTATAACTTCCCGATGAAGTGCCTGCGTTCGAAACGTAGTTCTCCTTGTATTTTTCACGTGGTTGTATCAGCTATCCATCCAAAGCTTTCTTCAGTAGAGTACACTATTTTCTGTACTTGTTTAGCCTTGTTTTCACGGATGCTTTAGACATTGAGTTCATCTGTTTTTGTCCAGAGAATTCTAAATGATGTTGGTCTCACAGTGATTATTGCATGTCTTTCACCCCCTCTGTGACCGAGTTAGCTTCTTGCAATGTGCAGTTGTCTCATAATTTGGGTTCCTGTTTGACTCTACTTTCTCCGGGTACTTATTTTCATGCAGTAAAAGCTCTAGAAAGCATCTCTAGAAAGAACAGTTTGAAACTGATAAGGCTATCATCATAGACAAATATAACATGACTCAAAATAACGGCCGGTCAATGGACAATGACCGGCCAAAAATGACGTCTTGACCGGTCACTTTTTTACCTCATCGGTTATTTTGACCGGCCACATTTTCATGCCTTCCAACGATCGAAACAAGTTTCCAATAGTTTGTTTCACTGTTAGTATAAGCGTATCAATGACCGGTCAAAAACAGATTTTGACCGAGCTAAAATCAAGACCTATCTCCCTTTATTTTGTGCCCTGTATTGTCGGGCCTACTGTGACAGTAAGGGATGCCCTAAATGGGAACAGTTTAGAGCCGATAGAACTATCCAGTGTAAGTCAGCTTGGTATAGGTTAAAACATTAAAATATTTTTACCTTTCATCCGCAGGACTTTAAGCCAAAAACTCTCCTCGGCGAATCTGGAACTTGAAGAGATGAAAAAACGCAACGAACTACTGGCGCAAGATTGTGAACTTTTTAAAACGCAGCGAAACTACGCTCTCGAGGCGAGACGAGAGGCCGTCGACAGCAGAGACAAAGTGACTTCAGAAAAAGATGCAATCCAAGCACACTACAATGATCTGCTTGGGAAACGTGAACAAATGAACGAAGAAAGAAGTCATCTTATACAGAGTTATGACTCGCTGCATGCGAGGTAAAAAAAACTTTGCCCTATTCCAAACACCAACTTTAATCCTAACCTTTCCCTACTCCAAGTTTGTTTCTAAACCAATCTTGAGGAAAAAGGTTTTGACGAAATGTCATTCTGAGGTCGGCGAACTAACTTTCTGAACATGGGTGTTAAGGTTTCCTTCAAATTTTCAATAGCAAATCTTCATTCAAATAAATTTCCTGCAGTTGTTTAACATTCCCTGCGAGCAGTTCTCGCCTATTTTTTCCACCACTGCAATACACTTTACTGTTTGTTGCACTTTTGCCTCAAATGGCTTCGTTTCCATGTTTGTGGCTGTTTTAGCATGGCGGGTGCATATGAAGGTTATAACCCCATGTATTAATAGACAATTTCCATTATAAACTAATTTTAAAACTGGGCAAGGAGATGCAAATAAATCACCACAGCTAGAAAGAGCATACTAAAATTAGTAAAATTGCAAAGTTTGGTTGCGAAATGTTGTAAAATGCGGAAAATATAGCCTTGCAAATTTCGCAAGTTTTGTATACTTTTGTATTGCGCGCGGAAATTCCTACCACATTCATACCACATTTGGGCCGAAAATGGTAGCAATTTCCGCACGCAATACGAAAGTATACAAAATTTGCAAACTTTGCAAGGCTATATTTTCCGCATTTTACAACATTTCGCAACCAAACTTTGCAATTTTACTCATTTTAATATGCTCTTTCTAGCTGTGGTGATTTATTTGCATCTCCTTGCCTAGTTTTAAAATTAGTCTATAATGGGAATTGTCTATTCTATTCTTCTTAGATATGAGAAAACGTCAGAAGAATTGACTCGAGTTAAAACTGCTCTGAATGAAAAGGAAATGGAGGTGGAAGATTTGATTAGAAAATTGAAAGAAGCGAATGATAAGGTATGTATTTCAAATTATTATTTAAGGCGGTTTACACTTTCAAAGTGTCTGTGATCACAGTAGGAATTTTGCATGAGTAAATTGTAAGAATTGAAGGATTTGTAAGAAATGTTTGAGGGAACTAACTTCTGTAAATCCCAATACATCAAAATGCACTATGGTGTGATGAGCACCACCAAAAGATGATTTTCACAAAGGATTCAGTATTTTTCTTCTCTGACTTCTGTAAATCCCAATACATCAAAATGCACTATGGTGTGATGAGCACCACCAAAAGATGATTTTCACAAAGGATTCAGTATTTTTCTTCTCTGACTTCTGTAAATCCCAATACATCAAAATGCACTATGGTGTGATGAGCACCACCAAAAGATGATTTTCACAAAGGATTCAGTATTTTTCTTCTCTGACTTCTGTAAATTCCAATACATCAAAATGCACTATGGTGTGATGAGCACCACTAATAGATGATTTTCACAAAGGATTCAGTAGTTTTCTTCTTTGCAGTTCTGTTTTCGTCCGACATGGCGAAAACGTCGTTCTTTCTGAAAAAAAAAACAACAAATGCCTCTTTACTGCGCTTGGTGCAAATTTTTTTTTTAATTTTGCCGAGAAAAGAGATCCGTGGAACGAGGTCTTAATCATGTAACTTTATCACAACGAGTTTTTTCGTCTGCATTTTCAAATTTTTTTTACAATGGTTCCATGCAGACTTTCTGTTTCAAACCTCATGATGTATTAATAAGTTTTGAACTTTAATTTGAAGAACCATCGTAACAGCGTCCTGTTGGAAAATCTCCCCGGCTTGTCCGAGTGTTCTGATGGCGGCGGCGATGATGATGACGACACTTCCGGTGCCGCTGAACAGCTGAATGAGGGCGCAGGTGAAGAGTCCGCTGACCGACGACGTCCTTGGCGGGAACGCCGCATGAAATCATTGCTCAGCAGTATTAAACACCGTATTTCAGGCGACCGTGCTGACGAGACCGTACCTCGCGAACACGTGATTGCGGGCAATGTGACTTTAGACGTGCTACAGCATCTGCTACCAAATCTGAGCACGCGTCCTTGCAGTACAGCGGAGCCTGCCCACACGCCAAAACTGTCGCGCACTTTGCAACGTCAAATGTGTCTGAGGAAGCAAAAAGTGGATTGTGCTCTCGAGAAAAATCGCGCGAAAACCGCCCCCTGTGGATTGGAAAATGCTTTGCAGGATATTTTCACGTTTGATATAGATTCGCAGGGGGGCGTGAAGTCAGCGAGTTCTACTCCAAATTTAGGCTACCCTGACGATGTCAACGTGGTGCCGGAATTTATCCGAGCCCGTTCATGCAACGTAAATAAGGGGTTCCGACGAGCCAATTCCGCACAATGAAATGATGTATTTATGGCTATATACAAGCCCGACGTTGTTCCGAGTGTCTTCCGAAGCTCTCTCAAGAATCTCTAAAGTCCTTTCTCATAGAGTGAAGATGCTATTGTTGATGAGCACGTTGTACATTTGCCAAACTCTCTAACATAATGAAGCAGACAGAAACATTTTTACGTACTTTATCAAATTTATCATTTTTACTTTTGTTTATACCGTAAACCTCCGACTATAAGCCT